AGCTGCTTCAAGAGCTTTCTTGATTGCTGCTAGAGCTTCAGGACCAATGCCTGAAAGCCTCACATTACCTGTTTCTGAGAAGCTGCATTTTCCATCAACGTTGGCTTATCGGAGTTATGAAGCAGCAGAGCTTTTCTCCTTGTCATTCCAAGAAGACGCCTCAGGGGAATCATACGCTCAACGTTCAGCCAAGGTATTGAGAGCATGTCGAGCTGTAGCTATACGTAGCTGCAAAGAATTCGAAGGTGATTACTTGGATGCTATGCATAAACTCATCTCTAAGCCTATAATCCCAGTTGGATTACTATCACCACCATCATGTGTAGACCTCAACATCAATCGTGATCAATCGTGGCAGAGGATCTTAAAATGGCTCAATCAACAGAATCCCCAATCAGTTTTATTCGTAGGACTTGGGAGTGAGTGTAAACCAAGTAAAGATCAAGTATATGAAATAGCTCATGGGATTGAACTATCTAAACTACCATTTTTATGGATATTACAAAAGCCTAAATGGTGTAGTACTACTTTAGATGATGTGGATCCTTTGCCTGAAGGATTCAGGGCGAGGAATGCAGAGAAAGGCGTGGTGCACATTGGATGGGCACGTCAAAAGGAAATTCTTGCACATTCTTCAATTGGAGGAGCACTAGTTCAAGGGGGACTAGGTTCAATTGTTGAAACACTACAGCATGGACATGTACTTGTTGTTTTGCCATTTGTGCATGAGCAAGGGCTGAATGCAAGATTGATAGTAGAAAAAGGATTCGGAATTGAAGTGGAGAGAAATGAAGAAAACAGATTGTTTACTAGAAAGGATATAGCCAAGGCATTGATGTACGCCATGGTTTCCGAGGAAGGTAAAGAGATGAGAGAAAGAGCAAGAAAAGCTATTGATGTTTTTGGAGATATACAGCTTCAGAATTCTTACATTGTTAGCTTTGTTGAGTATCTGAAAAATAAGGGGAATAAAACTCTGTTCTGTCGGCCGCAAGGGCATGGTTGAGTGGTTGGTTAGTGGATCGAATCACCTTAGGTTACCAAAAAATGCTCCGAAGGTCATAGGCTGTGGTAGAGGTTGTGTATTTCCGATTCCAAAAAAAATATGTTCTGTCTGCATTTTCTTCTATTCTAAATGTACTGGAAATTTTAATTGAAATGAATAAACATTAGATAGTTTGATGTTTCCTGATATTGTGTTATTTCAGATTGTCTATACATATCAATATTGTATTATAATGTATTTGTTTTAATTAATATAATATTCGAATAAATTATATATTTCTCTCTATTTTATAAAGTCACACCCAATAATTAAAGAATAATTATACAATTTTATGAAGTAAAAATATAGTACGATATTGAGTTATTATTAAAACAATTTAGAGTTAAAGGTAAATAAGATTATCAACCGATAAGTAATTAAGGCAAGATGAGAATAAATAAAGTAATGATGCAATCGCATTAAGTTTGTGATTACATAAAATAGAGTCAAACCTAAATATAACACTATTTTTATCCAAAAAAAAAAAAACAATAGTTATTATAGTAAAATGATGGTTATATTAAATATACTGTATACACATGAGTGACTCAAAATTATGAGGCATCAAAAAAAAATTGTCGTATGAAATTTATGTTTTAATATCACTTAAAATAATATTGAAGAATGATGATGTTAAAAAATACAATTTTTTTATAAAAATGGAAAGAAAGAAAAATATCTACGTTTTATTCAGAAATGTTTTAAAATATTGAATTAAACAATATAAATATTCAAATTAATAAATACAAATTTTACAAACAAAAGCCAAGATAATATATTGCAAACAAATGGCTAATATCTTATTAAGTAGAATTTATCCTTACTTTTTTATAATAATATTACTATTATGAAGTTAAAAATTAACTCATGCTTGAATTAAAACTCTTTTCATTAATAATATGACAAAAGGAAAACTTTAAATAACTCATGCTTGAATTAAGATTCTTTTCATTTTCTAGAAAAATAAAATAAAATTGAAGTTTTTGTGAATCCTAACCCTCCATGGCTTTCTCAATTTTCTCGATATATAAAGATTTTTTCAGCGAGAATACAAATGTAATTTTTAAAGGTAAGCAAGAATTGATTGGTCTTCTTTTTGGTTTAATGTTTCAACGGTGAATTGATTATTCAATATCGCGGTGGAATGAATTAGTACAATTCATTATTTATTGACATATTCAGGATTTCAAAAGAGACTAGGTCTGATTTTTTGGGTAGAAGCACTCTTATGATTTCTATAATTCATTTCTCTTTTATGAATAGTTGGTTCTACGTTGGACGATTGGTGGGTAGTTTGAAAGATAATCCAAATTTCTAAAAGAAATAACTCTTAGAGTTTCTGTAATTCATTTCTCTTTTATGAATAGTTGATTGTGTTGCAGAATTGGTGGGTAGTTTGAAGGATAATCAAGCTTATGAAAGAAATAACTCTTAGAATATCTCTAATTCATTTCTCTTTTATGAATAATTGGCTATTTATTGATGGTTATTGGTGGGTAGTTTGAAGGATAATCCAAGCAAAAGAAATTTGATGCAAGGCAATAATTTGGAAAAAAATGGAAAAATTAAGTCTAACACGTTCGGGAATAAAGGTTGTGTCATTATTATTATGTTTAATTTACCTATTGTTTAATATGTTTACATTGTAAATATTTTAAATATTGAATAAATTATTCAGTGTATTATTTAAAACGTAAAATCAAAAGACAGTCAAAATTACCTATTTAATATGTTTACATTGTAAATATTTTAAATAAAAAATAAATTATTGAGCAACTTTCACGTATAACAAACATAAAAATCATATTTGTGTGTTATACCTATAGTTTGCATAATTGCGTTCCATAACAAATTTTATGTTTGCTATGGAGCTTTTGATTTGTATAATTCTCTAGATACATCCAATTTTATACAAATTGTTCAGTTTTGTATAAATTCATTTATACATTGCAATTTGTATGATAAGATCTATATTTGTATAATTATAAGTGTATAGGACGAAAATATATGTATTTGTATTTGTATATACACTTTTCTCTCACTTTATACAAACACAAATGCAGTTTATACATTTTATAGCGAAATGTATAAAATGGCTAATTGTATACCAAAAATGATTAATTGTATACCGAATCAGATGGCAAAAAAATGGGATGTTTGCTGCGAATTACAAATAAAATAAACTATGGCTATATAACATTTAATTTAAATTAATAGTTTGCTAGTTATTTCATACAATTTTTCCTAAATTATTTAATGTATTATTTAAAACGTAAAACAAAAGATGAAGACAAAGTAAGGCAAACTTAATTTAAACCAAATTAGGATAACACCTACCCTACAAATTCAATAAACTATTTATTGTTTATCATGTATTACTTGGAACATAAAATCAACGAACTTTAAAACATAACGTCAAAGTTCAAACCAAATTGTAGTAACAAATACACTAAAATAGAGGTGACCTAATTGAGATAGTTCACGCTTGCTAATTTACCTAGTATAATATTAACACATATAAATTATAATATGAAAAGAGGTTTAAAAAATAAAAACATATTATTATATTTTATAGGTTACTATATAATAGAAGATCGAATTAGAGGAGCTTAGGGTTAGTCAGTCAATTGTCTGATTTGCCCTTCTCCTCAAATTTCCTCTATTTTATATTTATCATTTTTCTTTTTAGTATATTATGTATTTAAAAATTATAAAAAATAATATTATTATCTATTTTACTTTCCTTTTTAGTATATTATATATTTAAAAATTACAAAAAAAATAGTACTATAAATTATAATATTTAGCATTTCATCATTTTTCTATAATATAAGAGGGAATAGTGAGGAGCTTGGGGTCAAGAGATTAAATGTGTCATTCAACATGTGTATTTCTATTCCTTACAAGTTACCGCCTCCTCCACAGTGCTACAATGACCTTTCTTTTTAGTAGCTTATATCCATTTATAAATTACGGGGAAAAAATGGTACTACACATTTCAAAAAATTAAAATACTTGATTTGGTAAAATAAATAAAGTTGGCCAAATGAAACAAGCTAAGATTGGTGCAAAGAAAATCTCCAACAAAAAAATGTTTCAACAAAATCTCCAACAATTCGGATAAATTTAATAACTTTAATTTCGACTATATATAATAATTATGAATGTGATATCAAGTCTAGAAATGATTATATATATATATATAGTTTAAAATCGGAATTAAGTAAAGAGCTATGCAGTGTGTAAATGTATATTATCAATTATATTCGTATTTATCATTTACGAATTAACCCAAAAGGGATGCTATGGGAAATCTTCCACTTGGTTCATTATTATGGCAGGTTTATTTAATGCGATTTATATTTTGTAAGATTTGTGAATTATTGTATAAAAAAGATTTATCTAATGCACACCTGAAGAATAGTAAACATATTTTTTTCTACAATTTCAAAAAAATAAAAAATCATCTACACAAAGAAGTAGTAACTCCAATGGGCAGTAAGTGACAAGAGAGAGTTACTCAGATGCTAAGCACTCTTACTTCCAACTTGAAAATTGTGAGTTCGAGTAAAGAAAGAATTGGCAATAAGTTAACTATTAAATTAATGATAGAACCTTTTATATTAAACAAGACGTCTTAGGGGTAGAAAAGGTCTAATAATACCCATTTTTATATTCTTTTTCCTTCTATATCAATTACTTTACCTTTATTTTCAAGATTATTAAATTATTTCCTTGATAATAAAAAAAAACAAATTTTGTTTTTATCCACACGACTCCAATCCATATCATTAAACAAAAAAAAAAGTTGTTCACTTGTATCAAGCTTCTATAAGTGTTGAAAAAAAAGGTGTTTTAGACTCAATCAAACTAAAACTCCATATAATATATAGTTCTATTTTCTCCAATATTCTCCTCCATCCTCTTTTCTCCTACTAGAAATTGTCACTTTGCTCTTTGATTTTGTAACATCACAAAATTAAAGGTCCAAAATATGAAAAATAGACAACAAGATCATGTGGTCACACTTATTTGGGCAGAAACAAATAATGTGAGGAGCAATTTTAGAAGAGTTTTTCTAAGAATTATGACTATTTTCATCTTTTTCTTTTGTCTTCTTTATGTTTTATACTCCGTAATTTGTTTAAACCCTTCATTCAAGTTAACTCAAAGACCTTTTGATACTTTTATGAGATTTGACCAAGAAAATACAATCCAAAAAAACCTTAATATAATTCCCCCAGAAAAAACTCAGCTTCACCATATTGTTTTTGGCATTGGATCGTCAAATGCCACGTGGAATTATCGAAAAGAGTACGTAAAATTATGGTGGAATCCAAATAAAATGCGAGGATTTGTATGGTTAGATAAGAATATGAGTAGTACTAGTAATTATGATAATGTTACTACTACTACTTCTCTTCCAAAAATCATGATTTCAAGTGACACATCAAGATTCAGGTACACGAATAAAAATGGGGATAGGTCAGGGATTCGTATATCCCGAGTTCTATCAGAGACAGTAAGGGCAGATTCGGAAAATGTGAGGTGGTACGTGATGGGGGATGACGATACGTTTTTCGTGCCTGAAAATTTGGTTAGGGTATTGAGAAAATATGATCATAAGCAATATTATTATATAGGGAGTGTATCGGAAACACATTGGCAAAATCATGAGTTTTCTTATAATATGGCTTATGGAGGTGGAGGTTTTGCTATAAGTTATCCATTGGCAAAGGCAATTGAAAAAATGCAAGATAAATGTATACAAAGATATCCATATTTGTATGGATCAGATGATAGAATGCAAGCTTGTATGGCTGAACTTGGAGTTCCTCTTACTAAAGAAGTCGGATTTCATCAGGTTTGTGAAAATCATATCTCTCTAGCATACACGATATTCTCTTCAGACCCTTTTCGGGGTTTTTTGATGCATGGTAGTTGATTTTAATTAATTTGATATGTTGTCAACCTTCTTAGGTAATCTAGTACCATGACCTTTTGTTTAACTAATTAGTCAATAGAATCATAGCGACTACTAGAATATAGGGTCTTAATTAAATGGACAAGATGTTGATTTACTAAAATAACAATTAAATATAAGGATTTAAGTAAAGTGATATTTTATTCTAAGATAAGATATTTCACCATGTATATGTAATCACTTATTCGATTATTAAGGTATAAATGGTGGGATAAACCACGACTACCTAATATTTCCAACCAAACACAAAATAACCCTACATTTATACTTTGGAATTATTATTTTATCAGGTTATCAATTAATCCTTTTTAATAGAAATTACCTCTTATTTAATAATTAGATAAAGGAAAAAAAACTTAGAACAAAAAAAATCCAGCAATATAGGTGGGTGAGCCTTTATGATAACCAATCCTCAAATACTAAACCACTTTCCAACAATTAGGTGGGTGACCTACAATTATCTACTTTTGAAGGATATGTCTCTACTCATATCTCAAATTATTATACTTAGTTTTAATAAATCACAATACAATTAAATGCTATATTTGGAAAAATGGTAGGTCAACTAAACATTTTTCCATCTATGTATTTTATGTCACATTAATGTAGGTTTCTCATCAACCTACTTATATAAACCAAATACTTAGGTAGAACTTAACCAATATAAGTTCAAAAAAAAAAAATAGATGTTAGTCATCAAAAAAAAAAAAGTATAAAACCAAAAGGACCAAAAAGCTTAGCATCAATTAACCAATTACTAGAGATATAATTAAGTAATTAGTTAACCCAATCCCCAATCTACACACTTAGGACTAAATAAATTTACAATTCTATGCCCAGACTATTGTTTGAGCGTCTAAATGAAATTTACTAACAATATGGCTTTTCTTACTTTTTATAATGTATTTAAGCTTTCTATTTTACGATTTAACGATATGACGGTGTTTATGTGGAACAGTTTGATCTATATGGTAATGTAATGGGCCTCCTCTCAGCCCATCCAGTTTCCCCATTGATTTCTCTTCATCATCTTGATAAAATCGAGCCCATTTTCCCCAACGTAACCCGAGTTAAAGCCTTGAAACGTCTCAAGAAGCCCATTACACTGGACTCAGCTGGGCTTATGCAACAGTCCATATGTTATGATAGGCCCAGAAAATGGACCATTTCTGTCTCATGGGGCTATTCGGTCCAGATAAATAGAGGCATTTTACCGGCCCGTGAAATAGAAAAGCCCATTGCAACTTTCAATGATTGGTATGGAACTAATGATGAGAATTCCCTCACATTCAACACAAGACCATATCATAGAAATGGTTGTCAAAGGCCATATTTCTACTTGTTGTCTAATGCATACGCGTCGACGACTAATGGCACAACAACAAGTGTATACGCGCATGATGGGGCACCTAGAGGGAAGTGCAAGTGGCGTATGGCTGATCCATCCAGGATACGACACGTGAAAGTGTACAAGAAGCCTGATCCAAATTTATGGGACAAGGTAATTTCTTTGTGCTTGTTGAATAACTATTGTCATCTATGTTGTTGGACTCTCCAAAAATGTTGCTGCAATCTGACACATATTCAACTGTATTTTTGGAGAATCTGAACAACATAGAATGTTACTATTTGTTAGTATGATATATGCTGATACATTTGTTTTTGTGGATGTTTTCAAGCAGTCTCCAAGAAGAAATTGTTGCAGAGTCTTGCCAACAAACAAGAATGACACTCTTTTAATAGATGTAGGTGAATGCAGAGATAGTGAACCCTTTTAATTGTAGTGACAGATAAAGAGGTTTTTTTTCACTTTCTTACTAGTGCTATTCATGTCATTATTTGTAGTCCCCCACCCCAACCCCCTCATTGAGTCTTTGGGTTTTGTCTGATATGGAAAGGAGGTCAGATTATACATATTGCCATGTACAGCAAAAAACTTACAATGCATCAGGTGAGCTATAATCTTGATATACATTGAAAGAGGGAAATACAAGAAAGAATGTATGATCTTACTTCATATATAAACTTATTAGTGAGTGAAAACATCACTGTACTATGTTTTGAACAATAAAAAGAATGACGAGATTCGGAGTAAAAGGGCTCATGAAACCAGTGTAATCTTGTGTGTGAATGAATCAGTTGAACAGGCCTAAGCAACATAAATACACTTAATAGAAAGCTCTTCATATTTGTTTCAGATACTTACACGAAGCGAGACTTCTCAGTGCTCTCAATGTCTAAAGCTTATTTATCTCCACTTCTGCTGCACTCTGAATAAGAGTATTGACCTTAATGCATTAGTGTCTTTTCTTCTCATTCTTCATTCTTTTTCGACACCATTCACATAACAAATGTTCCTCCCCTTTAAATCCAGTATCATTGTACGGTTTATATTCTTGTTCATGTCGTGTTTTTGAGCCATATGAGGGTTTGTAGTTCACATGGATCATTAGCGCTAGTACTTCATCCACTGGCTTTTTTTCCCCTACTAGGCCTTATTATTTGCTTCAGAAGAGCCATCTTTGGGACATTCCAATGCTCTATATGTCTACAAACTTTTCCAGATTTCTCATTGAAATAGTATTCTGTATAACCAGTTGCTGCAATTAAGTATAATGTAGAGTTAAAGGCAACGACAAGAATCGAAATAAAGTCAGTAGTCTGTAGATGTAGAAGCAGTGGCTTCACGAACCTGAAAGAATGGGCTTCCATGGAAATGACAGTATGCAACTAAAACGCCAATGACCAATCGCCTTGTCCTGTATTTACAAACACGCACACTTGGTAAACATCACAACTTTGCAAGAAATCCATCTAATCGGAGGAAATAAATTCTTAGCGCTACTAGACGTAATCAATTGTGAACTAACCTCAAAGTCCTCCCATTTCATGAGTTTCATATTTGATGTTTCAACAAGGTAACCAAAATTAGTACAGTTCCTTTTAAATCGACTAAGCCCTTTGAAGGAACCTGCTGGATCCGCAAATTCACACTTCTCTTCATATGCATTAAGGGTCAGATTTCCTGAAAATCCAATTATGAGAATTTATGCAGCGAAATCATTAACTTTGTTTCGTATCAATAAAATCACTCAATTTAGAATTTCAAACTCCATGCTCAATCGAGCTATGACACTTCATGAAAATTTAAATACCTGTAACAAAGTAGGATCTTTGGAAGTCATCTTTAATGGAATCAACCACAAGGGCACGATCAACAAGTCCAGACCCATCAGTTGCAAGTTCCAAATTCCCCTCTGAAGGAGCTTCAGTACCCGTCGTCGGAGAACGGAAAATTGATGCAGCAATCCCGAGGAATTCAGAACCATACCAAGCCATTTTGAGCAGCAAATTTTCAGACTCGGAATCTTGGCTACTAGTACTAGAGCTGGTACTAGTATTGTTTGATGAGTTACTTGTGGAGTTTTCAACGTTGCATCGGGACAACTTGAGTATTTTCTTACTACTATTTGGCCGGAAAATGGAACCCCGGTCGCTGGACTGGAGATTGGGAATTTTGATGGAAGCAAAAGAAGTAAAAGTAGCCATAGCAAAGACAGAGAAGCTTTGGTCGTTAATTAGAAGTTGAAAATTGAAGTATTTGTATTATTATAAAATAAATATCTATGCTCAGAATAAATACTGACCACAAAAAAACTGAAAAATTATAAGAAGGGCAAGAAATGAATGGACTTCAAAAAGGAGATTTTGTTGTTGTTCTTTTTCCATTGATGGAATATTTGTTATTTTTATTTTACAGTGCAAAATAATCAAAACATAATGGGACATTTTATACCCATTTAAGTGTGTTTTAGGCAGGTATTACTCATACGTGCATTGTTATATACTCCAAATTAAATTTTATACAAAATAGTACGAAAATTCTTGTAACAAATATGGACGTTCAGCAATTAACTTTGCCAGAAATTGTTATAATTTCAACTTGTGTAATGCTGACAATGAAATATACTACCTTGCCTCCAAAATTAAGTCCAGGAACAAACTAATCAAGTATTTCCAAAGTCATGCCTTTATAACAAGTTCATTTTCTAAAAAGAAAAAAAAAACACTAAGATTAGCAAAGTAATTCAATAAAACCAGGTAGTATAGAAAACTTTCTAGGAAGGAATCCTAAGAATTCTCCATCAGACTGAACAAATATGGAGCCACTGCTGCCAATTTCTTCAATTTCAATTGAGCGCGCCCTGCAACGACAAACAAAAACTGTTGAAGACTTTCATAAACATAGACTAAGCTAACAGACCCCTTAAAGTGGATCTTTGAGGTTCTTATGGATATTGTAGAGTATATTGACCTGGGAAACCCCAAAACACTAGAGGTTTTATTAAGAAAACAAAGATCCTAAAGGCATTACTTTCTGAATAACTACTCCCTCCGTCCCTTTTTAGTTGTCCACTTTAGAAATGGCACACAGATTAAGGCAACAATGATTAGCACAGTGAAGTTACAATTTTACCCTTATGACAACTTTTCACTTCAAAATTACAACCACTTATTTGAATTAAAGTGAAATAAATTGGAGGGAAACAACATACACTTTTACAATTTTCAAGAAGTGTAAATAAAGGTATAATAGGAAAAAATTTGTTGTCCTTTCTTGATTTGTCAAAATGGACAACTAAATAGGGACAACTAAAAAAGGAAATATGGACAAGTAAATAGGGACGGAGGGAGTATGTCCAAACTGACTTCTTTTTCAAGATGCAACATTGCACAGTTGCACTAAAGTAGTTTCAACAATGGGCAACTTGGAATTCACAATAAGAATTTAAAGAAGAGATCAGAAATGATTTTTTCTTTCTGTAGCAGCGGTGGTATACCTTCTTGAAGATACATTTTTCACTGATAAGTGTGTCCCGTTGTACAGCTTATGTAGTTTGAGAATGAAATCATACCACTTGAAATCCTGCAGAATGACCATCTGCACATAAAGTAATTAGCCATTGTAAGTCGTATCTAAGCAGTTCTTGGAAAACAGAGATGTTGAAAATAATGACCGAGAACAGGGAAAGAGAAATCATTAAACCTCATAATCCCCGCTTGAGGGGTTGGCATTTGGTGTAATCTTCATTCCGCCACCAAAATATTTTGCATTCCCAATGCAAAGAGCAGTTACTTGGGAACATACTTCCCACTCACCCTCATCAACCTAGATCATTCATCATGTTTTTCTACTGATAAGTAAAGACAAGCAAAGTAGAAAGACTGACTAATATATGTTGACCGTGCAGAGCAAAATGAACCGTCCCCCTCATTATCCTTAAAATTGTTCAGAGATACCCAACCCTAGTAGGTAAACCAAACTGACCTTGATCCTAAGATCTTGGTTATGGTGCCGAAAGAAAGCTTGCAAAGCACCGATTACATAACACAAGTTTCCAAATTTCTTGTACCTTGATGCATAATAACCTGCTTTTGCACTTCTGCAAAACATTAAGTAGATGTATTTACAAATCAGAAGCAAGAACTGCATCGGCACACAAGAATAGAACTACACACTAAAAAATAAGAATGAATGAAGGCGACAAAGCTTTCTTTGCGAGAATCACTAAGAATTGCCAGAATCAGATGCATTTCCCATAATTTGCTATATGCTAGCCTAGAATCAGTTCTCCTTTTTCATTCAATTCCTAATTCTGGTGAAGACTCAATGCGTTGAAGGGGTAAATACAAGGGAACGGAATGAAGTAGATAGAGAGAAAGGAGAGGACACAATTTGCCTGTCCAATCCTAATTTTGGTAAACACTCAATGCCTTGAAGGTGTGAATACAAGGGAAATAGAATACAGTAGATTTTAGAGAATGTAAGGACACAACTAGCCTGTCTAATCTTCCTAGAATTGACACTACACTCGCACCATAACAAGAATCACAATTTTATGGGAGTTCGGGAGCAATGAAATCAGCAGTAATACAGGAACAACAAGTCCCAATTATAGAGGAATGGGAATGGAACAAGGATAGCAGATTCCCATCGCCAAATGTCAAACATAACCGTAACTTAGGAATTTCCAGAAACAGTCCTTACAGATGAATATCAGCAACATTGATGAAATAATGTGACTCTCCAATTTCTCCAGCTATGCATCCAACATCAATTTTTGATTTCAGCCCTACAAAACACCTAAATCAGACTTTCTTCAGCATAATGAAGGAGAAGGATGGCGGATAGAAATACTGCAGCCGTTATTATAGAATAGGATATCTCCTTCTCTACTATTTATTTATTTTCTGGGTTAAAAAGGGTCTTGAATCAGACTTTTTGCCAACAAGAGATGGAGTCCTGGTGCCAAGTACCTTTAGCAATGCGTTCTATGGCATCATGCGGATCATTTTTCCTGATGAAAAGCAAGACCATCTATAAATACTGATACTCCATGCAAGGAATGACAAAAAATTAAGCTACAAAAACAACAGAAGTTGCAGTTACCAGCCAAGCGTCCTGGCAAAGTCAGATCCAGTACCTAAGGGGATTATCTGTTAAGAAAGGACATCATTTAGGTATCTTCATGGGGTAATTGATACCAAGCCGTTTGTAAGGCAAAAAGCACACAAAATGAACTTCACAATATCTCAAAATAATGTTCTCAATTTGATTAAACAATGTCAATCAGCCAATGATGACTCACGCCAAGAGCAGTAGAATGGCTGGAGTTCATATCATGATTACAAACAGGTTTTCCACCGCAGAAGAAGCCATTAACAACCTGAAAACCATGAGGTTTAATCAATTGAGCCAAAACTTAATATTAAGCATGGATATAATGGCAACAGAAAAGAAAATATGAATCCTGTTTGAGCTATAATATCTGCAGGCTGCCATAGAAGTTGTAGCAAAAGAAAAGCCAACATTAAGTACAATTCAACGGGAAAAGTACTAAGGAAATTGTATGACTACGCCAAAATGATGATACCACAATTGTAGATGAGTCTACCTTTAGACAGAGAAAAACTTACATGAGCACTATTTCACTTGCTCTTTATTTGTTATATTAGCATATTTTAACTTGGTAGCAGTCTGGGATACTAGAAGAAAAGTGAGTTATTAATTTTTTTCCTTTTATCAGTGTCGGGATTCTAGCTGTGTGTCTTAAGGCTGGATGCACCTTAGTACAAAAGACAACTGAAAACTGAAGATGCTAGAGAGGCTCAGAGGCAAGTAAGGAAAAACAAAATAGAAATTTAACTGATACACCAAAAACAATCCCCCACCAACTCCTTTCTGTTTCCTTTTAGTGCTATATACATGTACTTGTGCAGTTTGAAAACAGAAAGAAGAGATTTTAGAATTCAGGAAAGAAATAGGATGAACCTCATGAAGAGTTCCATCACCACCGACTGCTATTACAGCATCAGCTCCTTCACGTATAGCCTGACAGTACAATTGAGATAAAAGTTTCTGCATTCCACCTGATACTAGCTTAAATCAGAGATGTTTGGGTGTTTACCTCTCTTGTTATGTCAATGGCATGAGAAGGACCTGAAGTTAAAGATTCGCATATCTGGTCAAAATAGAGAGAACTTTTTCACCTAAACAATCATTGACAAAGAATTACAGTAATATCTACAAGAGCATTAAACATTTTTGTCCATTTAAGTTACAACACGTAGATATATTCCATGTAAGAGGGATATATTATCCTACCAAGTTGAAATTTTTACAGAAATCAACTTATATGATACTCCTACCATACTTAATTAGCATCGAAGAATAAGTAAAGCCTGATAAACGCTTGGGTTTTTGTTATTTACTGGGAAAACAAGCAGTCTTATGCTGATACTGAAAGCAGCCACCATTTTGGGACATAATAATGCCATAATATATTTTAGGATGGAAGGCAACAGTTTGCACCCTCTAGCTAATTTCACTTTCTGATCTTAACAACTTAAGAGAAAAGATAGGTAGCATTATTTATGAAACTTGACTAGAAAATTACACATATTTAAAAACTCCCGGTTTGTTGAAAATATGGTCCCCTCTAATGGAGAAGGCCAAGGGCCAATATATCTCTTACAACAGACTATCAGGAATATAACTTCAGGTGCATCTACACTTGTCAAAAAAAGATATCAAACAACATTTATTATGATTGAGCATGGGCAAACTCTGATCCTTACCGGACCACAAAAAGGAAATTTTAGTTCCACCAAAGTTTAAAACAGGTAGATGTTGCAGAATATCGTGGCACAAATATTCTGATACCTATAGATGGTGGTACCGTGCGAATTTGAGGATCTTTTGGATACTCGTGCATGCAAATGTGAGATGTTACCAATATGTTCTTCCACCATTATATTCAGTTCTAAATCCTTCATGTTTGGTAAAACCTTTACATTGATCACAACCATGAATTTTCAGAAGTACTGCAATCAAAATTTAACTCAATACATACAATCTAGGTCATGAGAAGTCTAATAAACCTGGTATGTGAGTATTGATCACTACTGTATATTAAAGTTGACTTCATATGAACATTCGCAATTCGTCTATTAAATGGAAGGTGTCTCGCAGCGTCATAACAATGAAATTCCGTCATCACTTTCAAAAAGGGGTAGACAATAAAAAAAAAAACTATTCCTTTGTGACCAATTACAAAGTTATAACTTCAGAAAAATCTGCCCTAAACAAAGTGGACAAAACATCAAATTCATAAGGAAAAAGCAATACATTCATAAAACCAATAAGATAAGCATTAAAAAATTCTACCAAAAGTTAGAAACTTTAACAACAAATAAGCAAAGAAAACCATAAGTTAGGGAAACTTACATTACAGTCATTACCCAGGCGAGACCTGAGGTAAGGAAGTAACTTCTTCCATTGCTGACCCGTCGTTCCATTAGCTCCTGCTCCAATAAAACCAAGAAAAAGACCAATCAACAACACCTCTGAGCCTTAAATTCCCAATTCAACCTCATTAAACATGTCAATCAACACCTTAATTTCCCAATTTTAAGAACCCTCAGCTTATTTCATTCCACTAAATTTTTTTTTAAAAGGATTTGGGGTTCAATGCGAATTGTGTGGGTAGGTAGGCACACATTTCAAGTTGAAAACAAACCTGTACTGGTGAACTATTTAAACGGAGAAGGGGGGAAAAATAAAATCTTGGAAAGAAAGAAAACCTCTGGGATTAACGACGAATATGAGTTCACGGCGGCGAAAGGAAGCGCCGCCGCGGAGTACACTGCAGTCGGATGAGGTGAGATCTGATGGCATAGGCGGTTGTGCTCTGATTAAAGAAGGATTTCTGGCCATTGCAACTACTACTACACCTTGATATATAATCATTCTTGAAGCAATAAATTTATATATACACACACAACATAAAAAGGCACACCTTTCTATGTGGTAAGATTTTGATGAGGATTAGAAGGTGATCAATGGAGGTTTTGAGAGTTGAAAAACTGAAATTGGGGTTTAGTTAATTACTCTAGCTAGTTCTACACTAATATTGGACCTCTATTTTTTTGAATCCTAATACTGTTGTTGGCAAATCTTGCTTTGTTTTTGTTCCATTTAGGGACAAAAGAAAGATCAATTTCACAAGAAAAATAATGTTTCAATGATGGAAAAGGTTGTTTGATGGGATCTCTTTTGGACACATTTAACATTACTCAAAAAACAATTCCAACTTGATGCTTAGACTGTGAGTGTTTTTGTTGTACAAGTATGTTACATTGTTTTTGTTTTTTTAAATACAATAATTTTAGTTTGTTTAGCAAAGTTTATGTGAAACCAATTGCACCTTTTTAGGGGTGAAATGATATTTTTGGTATCTAATAATTAAAAAAATAGAGTATTTAGTTGGCATGAATTTGGATTAGTCAGACTCCAATGCATATAATATCAAGTGAAAAAACAAATATAGAGTACAAATGAAGCTATTATAAAGAGATGTGAATGTAACCATTTCCTCCTTCAATTTTTTATTTCCTTCTTTTCAAAATAATTGTCATTTTAGTTTTTGAGAGTTAATTTAACTTATTTTTTAAGCTTAATTTGATTATATTATTTAAATATTTTAAAATTAGAATTTAGATATTCAAAAATTACATGGAAAGTATTTGTGAAGAAAATTATTATATCAATATGACCAAAAAACACATATTAAAATATTAATCAAAGTTTATATAATTTGACTCTCGAAAATTAATATGTGATAAGTATTTTAGGATGAAACTAATATTAAATTCCATATGAAGTGAAAGTAGAACTAAAGATTAAGGACCGAAAAAATTCGTCGTGATAAGTATTCATTTCACGTTAACTAGAGGCATTGGGTTCGAGCCCTCCTAGATACAAAATTGTGTTTGTTAGGAAGCGCTTGATGCACATTGTATTACTACATCGAGGAACTACATGATTCAATTGTATTCTTAGCATCATATAAAATTCAACTTTGGGAAAAACTCGACATGATCAAACAGGCTTGAGAGAGTCCAAATATCTTCATACGTCCATTGTTGATAGCACATTCAAAAGCCTCCATAATAACAATCACTTCATCAGTCATGGTTAAACATGCTCAAGAGAGTTCAAATATCTTCATACATCACTTCCTACATCCATTGTTAATTGCACATTCAAAACCCTCCCCAATGACAATTGCTTCATCGATCATAGTTTTCCTAACATAATAAATTGAAAATCTATGGAAATGAAGTAGTTTTCCAAAGCTATTCACATGTCAAACCAATACTCACCCTCTGATAAATTTTGCATTTGTAAATAATAAATTTGATGTTAGTTTAATCACATGATGTTTTTCAGTTGAGGAACAAGTAAATAGTCTTTTAGTTAATAATCTTTAATAAAACATCATCTTGGAGATCTGTTAATTCAGTCACATGATGATTTTCAGTTGAGGAGCTAATAGGTAGTCTTTTAGTTAATGATCTTTAATAAAATATCATCTTATAGATTTGTTAGTCTAGTCACATGATGATTTTTAGTTGAGGAACAAGTAGATAGTCTTTTAGCTAATAACTTTTAAATTTGTCATACTCGAAAAGGGATTTAGAAATAATATCTCTTGGTTCTAGTCTTTCCTTATTAAATAACCAAATATTTCTATCTTTTCAAATTTGCCACATAATATTATCACTCAAATTTAAAATTCTATGATTTCAGGAAAAAAAATCATAGTATTTAAAGAACAATAAGTTACACCACTAAATAGTAAAAGTCGTAATATTTTCAATATCAAATCAATTTAAGACACCACTTCCACACAAATTGAAACCAAACACATTTAAATAACATATATTTTATATCTTTAACTTTATATACACTATCCACATTTGTTAGTCTTTTATCTAAATTAATAATATTAGCTATAAACAATTAATCACACATTTTCATTAAAAAATATCTAAGCTATATCTACTAATTGTACCAATTTTCATTATTTTTGTAACACTCCTAAATTGTTTTTTTACAAATAAAATTCCAAATTAATTACTCACCTAAAAGTTCTTTTTAGGTAGTAAAAGTTTTTTTTTTTTTTAAAACCAAATATTTTACAAGTGTCATCTCCTCGGTTATGTTTTTTTCTTGATAAAACAGAGAGAACCCACAAGCATCGTCTTCTCCTCCTCCTCTTCTCCCATTTTTACGACTATATACATACACAACATATATCAACCTATACATACAGATACATATAGATAATCTGTATCTATCGCCATCAATCGAACAACTTCGAATTTGCAATCATCGAAACCCCAAACCCCCTCATTTGATCCAGGTAGAATTATCAACCCTAGATTCTCAATAAACTTCATTTTCAACATCTGATTACCAATGAAACCCTAGAATTGTGTGAATCGAATTGAGCATTACCTGTTTGTATATAGTTATGAAAAGAAGAGGTTGTACGCGATATTAGGATTTGCATTGTTTTTTATCAGGAGGTGGAAGTCGAATTGGAAATAGCTGAGCTGATTTTGTGGTGAAGATTTGATTGTTTGTTGTGCAGGATCGGAGCTGGAATTACTGTTCGATAGCTGTGTATAATTTATATCCGGTTTCATTTGAATGGGAGTTTCGGGAATTTAGATTGATGCTGACCTTGGATTGACGTTTAGAATTTTGGGTTGGTTAATTATGATATAAATTTCGGTGATTTATTGCGAACTTGGATAGTTGGAAACTGATTGGATCGCTTTTTCCTGAGGTTGATTTGGGAGAAGTTTGTAGAACATGAATTGAATCTTGTTTGTTATTGTTGATTTATTGTATCAAGCTTTTGTGGGTGAAGCATATTTATTTGATAGTGGTGCTACTTATTCGTCGTGGGTGAGGTTAGCTGGTGCGCAAGAATGAGCTTGGAGAATGAAGATGGAAGTGCCACCAATCACGTCTCTGAAATTGGTGATGAAGTTCGGAAGTAATGATTTAACTTTCTTGTTTAATTTCTAACAGGGTTTATTTGTTAACTTTTTTAATGTCAGTGCTCTTTGTGATAACTCAGGCATCCAAAAGTATCATATACAAGAGAGTTTCTTTTGTCACTCGGTCAACTGGAGATTTGCCAGAAGCTACCAACTGGGTTTGATCAGTTGATCATGAGGTAAGAATGTTTGCAAAAAGTGTCATTTGCTTGAAATTTTGGAGCAATTAATTTTTACTCTCCCAAAATTTGTTAGTAGTTCTTTGTTAGGTAATTTTGTTTTAGTCATCATTAGTAATTTGCATTTAAATTTAAATAGTGAGCTTGAGGACACCTCACGTGGCATACAAGACCGCCAAAAAATACCTGGAAGCTTGCCATCTCAAGGTTTCAGACGCAATGATTATAGTTCGTCTCCACCTACTCGTGGGGATTCTGATGGCAGTTCCAGAGGCATTTATGGAAGATGGGACAGCCGTTCCTCAGGGCGTAGTGATCGAGATAGTGATTCACAATCAGATAAAGATTCAGGTAAAGCTGATATTCTTTCATATATAGTTATTGTCTATGTTAAACGTGATGCTTCAACTATGAATACATATTTGTAGTCCATGGGTGTACAATTTACTGCCGTGAGACCACAAGCTAAAGATTCACAGGATCCCCTGTCCACTTGTAGTAAAGTAGACTATTCAAAAAAAAAAATGCTCTTTTGCATGGTCCTAGACCATCATAGTACACTAACCTGGGTCCTAGGCCAAATGGTCCAAAAGATGCCAAGAGGTATGGGCTTCCCATGTCTCTTAGGTTTTTCCTAACTTTCTGATTCTGCCATTAAACCAAAGGTCTTCGACTTCCACATTCTTTGGCATCACCCATTGCACACCACTCATGTATAGGAAGAGCTGCTTTGCGTGACTACAATGCAGAAACAAATGCTATGCAGATTCCTGAGAATTTTCACAGAAAAAGCATATACTGCACTGAGAAATTCCTCTTCTCCACAACATTTCCTATGTTAAACATGCATTCCTAGCTGCAACCAGTCAAAACAAGCTACTTTAAGAGGTGCTTGTGATTCCACAACGCATCCATGGCCAAGTCAAATCCCAGTGACCTACTTTTTTGTTTTGAGAACCATGGTGTCCGGGCCAGCTTGCGCGCACCTTAATTAATTCCTCAGGATACCTCCCACCAACAACAAGTACCCAGTAACTCTATCCACCAAGGCCAGGACAGATAGGAAAAAAATCACCTAGTAACTTACTGGTTTCTACAAAAGACAATAACAACTTTCTACAGAGAACTTCTCATCATTTTCTGCTATCCCAATATCAGAATCAAACCTACTAGCATCAAGGATTGTAGGTTCAAAAAAATTAGAAGTTGACCAATTTCATCATCTTCCCATTCATCAAAATTTCTCCTGAATTGAATCTCCATTCCTCCCCTGTCTAGCATTTATGCAACTGTACACTGTTTTTTCCCGGTTAAACTATACAATATAGGATATTGTTCATCACATTTTTTTCTCCCAGCCAAACGTCTTGTCAAAAATCTGATTCTTCTCCCATCACCAACTTCCAATGAGATGTATTTCTGAAATTCTGACCATAATCTACCTTTCTGCTCCCATAATCCACTTTTGTAGGCGTAGACACTACAGGGTGTCCAGAACCCTTCTCTGATGTCAATAAGCTTCTTGCAGGGTTTCTCTCCATTTTCATTGTATCTCCAAAACCATTTGAACAACAAACTCTTGTTGTGAAGTTTCAAATCTTTAACTCCCAAACCTCCACCTTGCTTACCCTTTATAACCTCCAGCCACTTTACCAGATGAACCTTTTCCTTTCAGAATTTCCTTTCCCAAAGAAACTTACTTCTCATGGGGCATCCGGACAATTAGATGCCAGCTAATCCACAATGCTGAAGGCACTGTCTTTTTTGTTCTTGTGCTTCATTTATCCTATGCTGGGTGGGGAACTTGTGTAATGCTGCAGCGGTGTGCTCCTTCTAACTAAACATCATTCTCACTCAACTTTGCAACCTTTTCTTCAAAAACCACTTTTTTTTGTCTTTTTGTTTGTTAGACTTGGCAAAGGTAGGGGTAAGGCTTCATACATACCACCCTCCTTAGACCCCACTTGTGGGATTACACTGTTTTTATTTTTATTGTTCAAAAACCAATATAGTCGGGTGAAAAGTGTCAAAAACAGTCCAATCTA